CCATAAGTAGAAAGCTGAAACTGGATCCTTTCCTTACTCCTTATACGAAAATTAATTCAAGATGGATTAGAGACTTAAATGTTAGACCTAATACCATAAAAATCCTAGAGGAAAACCTAGGTAGTACCATTCAGGACATAGGCATGGGCAAAGACTTCATGTCTAAAACACCAAAAGCAACGGCAGCAAAAGCCAAAATTGACAAATGGGATCTCATTAAACTAAAGAGCTTCTGCACAGCAAAAGAAACTACCATCAGAGTGAACAGGCAACCTACAGAATGGGAGAAAATTTTTGCAATCTACTCATCTGACAAAGGACTAATATCCAGAACCTACAAAGAACTCAAACAAATTTACAAGAAAAAAACAAACAACCCCATCAAAAAGTGGGCAAAGGATATGAACAGACATTTCTCAAAAGAAGACATTCATACAGCCAACAGACACATGAAAAAATGCTCATCATCACTGGCCATCAGAGAAATGCAAATCAAAACCACAATGAGATACCATCTCATACCAGTTAGAATGGCGGTCATTAAAAAGTCAGGAAACAACAGGTGCTGGAGAGGATGTGGAGAAATAGGAACACTTTTACACTGTTGGTGGGATTGTAAACTAGTTCAACCATTATGGAAAACAGTATGGCGATTCCTCAAGGATCTAGAACTAGATGTACCATATGACCCAGCCATCCCATTACTGGGTATATACCCAAAGGATTATAAATTATGCTGCTATAAAGACACATGCACACGTATGTTTATTGCAGCACTATTCACAATAGCAAAGACTTGGAATCAACCCAAATGTCCATCAGTGACAGACTGGATTAAGAAAATGTGGCACATATACACCATGGAATACTATGCAGCCATAAAAAAGGATGAGTTTGTGTCCTTTGTAGGGACATGGATGCAGCTGGAAACCATCATTCTTAGCAAACTATCACAAGAACAGAAAACCAAACACCGCATGTTCTCACTCATAGGTGGGAACTGAACAATGAGATCACTTGGACTCAGGAAGGGGAACATCACACACTGGGGCCTATCATGGGGAGGGGGGAGGGGGGAGGGATTGCATTGGGAGTTATACCTGATGTAAATGACGAGTTGATGGGTGCAGCACACCAACATGGCACAAGTATACATATGTAACAAACCTGCACGTTATGCACATGTACCCTACAACTTAAAGTATAATAATAATAAATTAAAAAAAAAAAAAAGAAAATGTGGCACATATACATCATGGAATACTATGCAACCATAAAAAAGGATGAGTTCATGTCCTTTGTAGGGACATGGATGAAACTGGAAACCATCATTCTCAGCAAACTATCACAAGGACAAGAAAACCAAACACCACATGTTATCACTCTTAGGTGGGAATTGAACAATGAGAACACTTGGTCACAGGAAGGGGAAGATCACACACCAGGGCCTGTTGTGGGGCTGGGGAATGGGGGAGGGATAGCATTAGGAGATACACCTAATGTAAATGATGAGTTAATGGGTGCAGCATACCAACATGGCACATGTGTACATATGTAACAAAACTGCGTGTTGTGCACATATACCCTAGAACTTAAACTGTAATTTTTTAAAAAAAGAATAATTAAAATAAATTGACATTGATTCAAAAAAAAAAAAAGAAAGAAAGAAAGAAAAGGAAAATAACACAAATTTTAACCAGAAGGTATCAGTGAAGCATAGTATTTTGTCTAATGATGTTTTTATGTTAAGTGGAAGGAAAATATATCATATGCTGTGTTGTAAAGTTTTCAAACTCTTCCATTCATTTCTCATGTGTCCCTTAATTTATTAAATGCATTTATTGGTAAAAATGTGTGAGTTTCTACTTGTAAATTTAGAAATATGTGACACAAAGTATTATAACTAGGAAAGAAAAAGAGAAATTTGTTCTTTATGATTCAGAATCCTGCAAAAGTTCCAGCCTGGCATTTGGAAGCCCAGGTTGTCACCGGGCCACTGAAACTAAACCCTTTATCCCTGAGTGGCTCATCTGTGAATGGGGGAAATCCGAAGAATACCTCTGCCTCTCTTTATCCTTTCTTTCATTTGACACCATGCAGCTCATGCTGCCACATCCCTCACCAGGGACATTGTGTGAATCTCCTAGCTCTTCCTTTTCCTCTTCTGTTACCATCTGATTTATTCTGGTTAGTCTTGGTAAATGCAAATTTAATAGTGTTGCTTTCTACTTAAAACATTTAAAGGGATTTTCAATTTAATAACTAACATAAAACCTAAACTCCTTGTAATGTGTTCAATCTATTTTATGCATTGTTTCTTACCCATTGCCAGTGTCACGCAACTCTGTCTCACTGGCTGCTAGCTGGCTTCATTGGTAGTGAATGAGACCTTGCAGACATGAGGCTCATTTGGTTTTCTGTCTGCTTGGAGTTATCTCCCCTGGGCTTGTCCAGTGGCTGAATTATTCTCATCCTTCAGGTTTCCTTCAAAGGACACCTCCACAGATGGGCTTTTGGAGTAGACTTTAAATTTGACTTTTTACAAGTATTCTCTATCACATTATTATGTTTATGCTTTTTATAGCATTTATCACAAATAAAAATGTGTATATATTTTTTGTTTTGCTTATAATCTTTTTGTATCCCTAGAATGCAAACTCTGTGGGTACATAGACCTTATTGGCTAATTCCCACTGTGTCTCAGTGCAAGTGTTATATACAGGGACCACACTCCGTACCACACTATTTGCGAAGAAGAGATATTTAATAAATATAGGGTCAAAACATTAACTTTAAAAAATAATAAAAAGGGTATATTTTTAAATAAAAATATATTCATGGAGGATTATAAATAATAAGCTCTGTCTTAAAAGATCCTATAATTTCTTTCTCTTCTTTTGTGTAGATAAGCAGCTTAAAAAGGTGTGTTTTCAATATTTTTGCCTGTAAAAAGTTGCTTTATAAGTACTCTAGATGCTTGAATGAGGTAGGCCTTTATTTTAGATTTGAATGATCAATAATATATAAAAACTCTTCAAATAATAAAACTGGTATAAATATTGAATAAAGCTAATGAATAGTTTCCATGGCCAGTTTAAATGTTTATTGTTTCCTATAAAACATTTTTCAGATGGTCTTTAAATCCTGCGAAGTGTTCAACAGTGTAATTAAAACAAAGTATCATCTATTTGAATATGTCTTTATCAAATACTTACTTTTATTTAAATTTCTTGTTGTATGTTTTGTTTTGCATATTTTAAGTTAAAAGTTGAGTAAAAATCTACAACTTTATTCCATTATTAACACCTTAATTCATGCAGAGCAATGCTGGGACTGGAATGAGTCAAGCCAGGTGCTTAAGGAGACGCTCGCTTTCAGTGTTTTGCGCGCACAGGTCAGCAGCTGAGAGTGATGGTCTTCCTTAAGTTCTGCCTACCTGGTGCTGGCTTGCTATAACCTAGTCCCAGCCCATATTCAGAGTTATAAAGACAGGAACATGGAGGCCATGCCTTGTCAAAGTGAGCTCATTCGCCTAATTGTGAGCAGCCACAAGGTAAATTGTCTGTGTAACTCTATTCTATCAGAGTGATTTAGCTAAATAAAATGTTTTTTGTTTTTAATTAGCTTTTGTTTTTAATTTGTTTTTAATTAGCTGCATCCCCTAAAGGAAATAATTAATGTTTTATTTTAAATATTTTCATGATAGATCATAAGAACTATCAACTTTTGTATCAGAAAGTCAGGTGTGTTACTCCTTGACTATGTCATCTGCTATATCTGTGCACGTATTGTTTCAGTTTAGCCCCCTAATTTATACTCTATAAAAGCACAATCTATTTTGTTGTTTTATGTGAACTGTTTTAGGAAAGGGTATTCTTTGCATTTACCTAAATAAGCATAGCATCCAAAAATAACAAAGATTGAAAGATAATTCAATACATTTGGCTTGTCGATTTCAGTTTGTGAAGTTTCATATAATCTCATTCTCCAAATAACTCATCAAGAGGAATGAATTAAAATGTTTGAATTCTTCTGTGTACCTTATTCTCAGAAAATTATATTATTTGTATTTTCACAACAGCTTTCTCAATCAGCCTCCTTATTGTCAGGTAGGATGATAGGATTCAAGGGATTAGTGTGTGTGTATATATATATATATATATGTGTATATATATATATATTTTTTTTCTTCATAGTGTGTGATTCTTCTTGGTATTCCCACCTAATTTCCGAACCAATTCAGAGATACAAAAAAGTAAACATATAGAAATAAAAATGGCATGTTTTGTTATTAATTGAGCCAATGGAGAATGTGCCTTAGAAGTAGCAAAAAACAAAAAACAAAACAAAACAAAACAAAAAGGGCTTCCATAGAACTGCATCCTAGACGTAGAGACTTCTCTATTCTTTCCTAGTCAGTGGAGATTCACAGTCATGTCAGGGTCTTTATTGCTGAGATAACCACTTGGTTGAGAATGGAATAGGGAACATCGGCAGTCAGGAGTTTATAAGAGATACTAGAAAGGACTGAGTGTCACTTATCCCCTGCTCCTTGTCCCAAGCCACAAGTAAGATGAATCACTTTTGGTTCCTATAGTGAAGTGAGTGAAGAGAGAGAAAGAAGCCCAGGGTGTTTTTGTAATGGGAATTGCTCAATTTAGAAACAGGCTGAGTGGAGTATAATAAAAGCTGAGATTGACTATGCAATACTTGGGGCATACTTATTCTTAATAAAATGTGGTTTATCTGAAATTCAAATTTAAACTGGGCATCTTGCATTTTTATTTCTTAAATCTGACCATGCTGAATGGAGAATAAGTGTTCCCCAACGTCCCCTCAGTTTCACCCTTCAAATGATTCTCTAAATTTATTTTCCTTTTTTTGTAATTTTGTAATTTTTAATTTCTGTGGGTACATAGTAGGTTTGTATACTTGGAGGGTACATAAGATGATTTGATACAGGTATGCAATGTGAAATAATCATATCATGGAGAATGAGATCTTATTAGTGTTCTTGTTTCTTTTTTTTTTTTTAATTGGAAACACCAGAAGAAACTTTAATGGTACTGAGAATTACATTTTTATGGCACTGGAATGAAAGGTCTCTATAATGTCTTTTGATTCTATAAATTTAGGGATCTGAAGTAGTTATGGCTGGCATAATCAAGCAGCGGCCGGGTCCTCAGAGTGTCAGAAGTCACAAACAGGAAGAAAGTATATTCCAGGGCAGTTTCACGATCTTCAAAATGCTGTTCTGTTTGGTTAAGTTCATGAGGACCCAAGCTGAAAGAGACTGTCAACATATATTTCGTTTTCTCCCAATTCCTTATATTGCAGATGTGATAACTAAGTTCAGAAATTTTCTTTCCAAAATCATACAGCCAGTTAAATGAAAAGCTGGGGTTGAACAGTCAGGCCTTCAGTATACGGATCCAATTTTCTTCTTGCTCCTCCATGGAGTTTTTTTCCACCTCTCACTCCTTGCCCTGGCTGCTCAGAACAGTAAGTGTGACTATGCTGCAGTTCCTATGTTTCACTCATTACGCCTACACATTTTTCTAGCAATAACTATCCCTAATAGACTTTGCAGAGCACCCAAATTGAAAATACCCATTTTTCAATAATAGATTAAGCAAAAGCTGCTAAATAATGATGATGGCAATAATTATATAAAGGGTCTAAATACAAAATAAATTTTGAATCAGATTAGAATGCAGAGGAAAATTCAATTTTCCAATTTCCACTGCCAAGAAGAGAAACTGCTGCCTGGTGGAATTCAATACAGGTCTGTATGTTTAACTGAGCAAATGAGCCCTGCATGCCATAACTAAAAATAATAAAAATGCAGGACATAAGCATCAACACAAGGGACTTCATTTGCCATTGGTGTCTCTGTGCATTTGTGCTTCTTGTCTTTGTAATATAAGTGAATTGTCACTCCACTATGATTGGGAAGAAATATTAAATATGCTTTTGCTCAATTCTGAATGATCTTATGAATATAATACTGTACTCCCTTACTTTAGAAACTCCTTAATTAACTCTCCGTTTTTTGTATGACAAAAAGCTTCTCCTCTATTATGATATAGTAGGCTCAACCTGCATTTTTTCAGTTTAACTCTTGCATGTCTCCATCATCATAGTCTGCTCCCGTCAGAACGTGCTCCAGTCAGAATGAATACTTTCCTGAATGTAATAGGCTTTTCCATGTGGGTGGATTGATGGATACAAAGAAAATAAAGTAATATATCCCTTGAAGCATCCCCAAGGTAGTTCTAATTGATGGAAGTGGTATATAAACTACATTTGGAAAAATACTCAGCAGGTAATACATAAGCTTTTTGTAGCCCTGTCTTATCCATTTGACTGCTTGCTTCACTTTTAATGCTCCAATGTTTAGTCCTTCTTGCAAACAGAAAGAAGGTAAAATGCAAACATCTGACTACAATTAGCATGAATCTTATTGAGATAAAGTTGACCTATCAAGTTCTCCCTTTGTGTGCCTGACGTTCTGAATGCATGTTACCTCATTACCTAGAATGTTATTCCGTTATCTGGAAGGTAAGCAACACTACAACTGTTTACAAATGATAAAACTGAGGCTCAGAGCGATTAAATAACTTATCTCAAGTTTCACATCCAGATATCACTAAATATCTGTTTGATGTCAGACATCACTAAATACCTCAGTTTATAATTGTACTGCAGACCAGAGACTGGTTTTGTCACCATGGCCATTAATGCTGCTTCATAGATATTTGAATAGTGTTATGTTTCATTTCTTGAGAACAAAATGGGATCCTTTTGAACTACTTTTTTTTACAAGTCTATATGTGTTGTTTTAAAAATCCTGTGAAAGCTCATACAAGATAAATGTAGTATAAATATAAAGTAGATAAATAAAGTAGTAGTCAGCTGTAGTAACTTTTTGTCTCAAATCTTATATCGCATAGCTCTGTGACCTCAAACAATTATGACATTAATATCTATAGGTATCTGTTTTAATATCAGGAAAGGCACTTATGTATTTGAGAAAGATTTTTTGTCTTCAGGTAATGATTATTGCTCTACATTTCACACAGACTACATACTCTGTCTATTATGGATTGACCTCATTTTTTATGTTTCATGCCTAGTCTGGAATTTGTATTGATATTTTTGGACATCAATCAGTCTTTCTCTAGATTTTGAATCCTTTTAGAAATATTCACTGGAGACTGACAGGAATTAAATCCTCTATCTGTTTTATCCTGACAAACCTGGATTAGAGAATAAAGATTACATCCAAGATCAAAATAGACATTTTGCATCACTCCCCAAATTCACAACTTTTGGGCCATACATCATAAATGTTGTGTCAGCAGCATATTTGTTTATTAAATTTTTCTTCCAATTTTTCTTGAGTGTCTCCTATGTGCCTGCAACTACCTAGGTACTTCTTATACCACAAAGGAGACAAAACCAACCATGCTGTTATAGACCCTTTATTCTTAAAGGTATTGGCCTGGCCTTCTGATGAGCCTACAATAGGAATTCGATAAGTAGAATGCATGCCGTGACCCCACCATGCCTACTGTATAGAAACAGGTTCAGAGAATACAAAATGAGAGCATGCCTTTGTAAAGTTCTGCTGCTTCGTGGAGATTCAGAGGAGGTTGGAATACTCACCCCACTTCATAGAGAACCATGTCTCAATGGATGTTTGCCTTTCATGTTTACCAGTACAGAAAATTTCAGGGGTTTCTTACACTCTACAAAGAGAAAAAAAAAAAGTTAGAAGATGTTATAGTTGCCCTCGAAATAAGTTTCAGAGGAAAGAAACTGCTTCATCCATTACTGTTCTGTTCCCCAAATGTGTGTTCTTTTAACCCACCGAGTTTATCAAATAAACTCATGGTCAACCAGTGAGTTCCTCTGGAGGAGGAACAACTAAGTGTCAGGGCAAGTTCAGTTTTTATCACCAGAGGACTGTGACAGAAGTTCAGAACACAGCATTAGCAAAATGTACTTCCAGGCATACTGTGCCTGAAGTCAAGCATTCTCTCCCTGTCCTTTCTTCTACCCATTAAAGAATGTGAAGCAATAGAGTGGATCTAGTCGTTATTAAATTTCTCATTGCTATAAATAACAGAGACATAATTTACATATTTAAAGAATATTATAAAACCATTACAACAATAAATTAGAAGGTATATGAAAGAAATTACCTTAAAACGATATAATATAACATTTCACTTTCAACTCAAAAATTAATAAACAGTCTTAGCCTGATAATATTTGTAAAAAACCTGAAAGAACAGTTGAAAGTTTTGCCAGGTAGAAAACTCAAATCCTGCATGTTTTTGTCAGAAATTCTATCAAAAATTTAAAAATACTCATAGGTTCATATAAACATTTTCAGTGGGAATATTTCTTATCTCAATTTACATTATTTATACATTGCCTTTATACCAAACCCCATAAGAACAAGACAAAAAATGAAATTTTACTGCTCAACCTTACCATTTAACATGCAGGCAAAAATCCAAAATAAAATGTTGGTAAGACAAATCTAAGTATTCATCTGTCTACTCTCTATTGATCCAATTAATAATGAGAGTTTATCCCGAAATCCAAGTTTGATTTAGCAACAGAAAAATCTATTAACACAATTCCTACAGATGCAGATTAATACAAAAACATAATATTATCTCAATAGTTGCAGAATAAAAGCACTTTTAAAATTCAACATTGATGCATATTAAAAATTATTAGTTAACTAAGAATGAAGATGTGAAGATTAAGTATAAGTGTCAATTTACTTAGGCTATGATGTCTGGAAGTTTGGTCAAAAACAGGTCTAGATGTTGCTGTAAAGGTTGTTTGTTTGTTTTAGATGTGACTAACATTCAAATCAGTACAATTTGAGTAAAGCTTACCCTCCATAATGTGAATGAGTCTTATCCAATCAGTAGCAGGTCTTAAGAGAAAAAGGCTGAGGTCCCACAGAGGAGAGAAAATTTTGCCTCCAGACTTGAAATAAAACATCAACTCTTTCCTGGGTCTCTAGCCTGTTGGCCTGCCCTATTGGAATCACCAAGCCTCAGAATCACATGAGTTAATTCTTTAAAATCTCTCTCTCACTGTTTCTCTCTCTCTCCCCTCTCTGTGTCTATATGTGTGTGTGTGTGTGTGTGCGCGTGCGCATGCACGTGTGTGTATGTGTTTATATTTAAACATAAAATGTGACACTTAAATGTGAAATATTGAAATCTTTCCATTAGGTCTTAGTGAAAGACAAGGTTGCAAGGTTGTGTGCTCTCACCAATGACTTTTGGTCCTGGGTAAAATAGGAAATCATAAATGAGTGAATGAACAAATGGTATAGGAATTGTTACCACTTCTGATGGTATAAGTAACTATTACAGAGTACATGATTTCAACATAGATTTTAATTTCAATTTAAACATTTATTATCAATAATCTACCAGACTAATAATTAAAAATTAAATATCTATTCACATAGTAGTAATAATTAAAAAACAAATTTTAAAAATTATAATTTCAAAGAAGAGTATAAAGAAATAAGAGACAAGACACTCATAGAGAAAATTCTAATACTTAATTTATAAGCATAAAGGAAAACCCAAGTAAAGTGATAAACAAGCCAAAATTTTGGATTGGATATGGTGTTAAAATATCTTTCACTCTGGTATAGATGCATCAGTTCTCTCTCTATTAAAATGTCAGAAAAGTTTCCAATAATTTGAGAACTTAATTAGAAATCTCCTATGGCCACCCTTTTTAGAATTCAAACCTCTGTACCATACCATCTAAATCCCACATGCCCTTGTCTATAAATTGCATAGCCCTCTTTACCTTCCAGTATTATTTATGATATTTTATTTCCTTTTTTTTTTTACATATTATTTCCTATACACATTAGAATGTAAGCTCCACAAGGATAGGAAGCCTTGTCTGTTTTGTAGCATGATGCTGCCAAATGCCTGCTAAGTAGTCGGTGATTGGTAATTATCTGTTGGATGATGTTTAAAATCACTGTAAAAATAGAGTTGGAAAATAATAGCAAATTGAATAAATAATAATTATGAAAGAACATATATTTCTATATAAATTTTTATTTCAATTTAAACATTGATTCTTAATAATCTAACAAGACTGATAGATAATTAAAAATCAAATATTTATTCACATAGTAGCCATAATTATAAAACAAATTTAAAATATTACAATCTCATAAAAATGGTACATAGGAATAAAAGAGAAGTAAAACCCTCACAGAGAAAATGATCTGGGAATAAAAATTTAGGGCCGGGCTGGTGGCTCACACTGTAATTCCGGCACTTTGGGAGGCTGAGGCAGGCCGATCACCTGAGGTCAGAAGTTCAACACCAGCGTGGCCAATATAGTGAAACCCTGTCTACTAAAAATACAAAAAATTAGCTGGGCCTGGTGGTGGGCGCCAGTAACCTCAGCTACTCAGGAGGCTAAGGCAGTAGAATCGCTTGAACCTGGGAGGTGTAGGTTGCAGTGACATGAGATTGTGCCATTGCACTCCAGTCTGGACAAAAAGAAAAAAACACTGTCTCAAAAAAAAAAAAAAAAAAAAAAAAATTAAAAGATACCCTCAGGATTTAAAATATTATATTAATTAGGTGTATTAATCTGTTCTAACACTGCTATAAAGAACTACCTGAGACTGGGTAATTTATGAAGAAAAGAGGGTTAATTGACTCACAGTTCTTCAGGCTATACAGGAAGCATGACTGGGAGGCCTCGGGAAACTTACAATCATGGCAGAAAGCAAAGGGGAAGCAAACACGTCTTCACATGGCCGAGCAGGAAAGAAAGAGTAAAGGAAGAAGTGGTACACACTTTTAAACAACCAGATGTCGTGAGAACTCATTCACTATCATTAGGACAGAAAGAGGGGAATCTTCCACTATGATCAAATCACCTCCTACCAGTCCCTGCCCCAATACTGGGTATTACAATTCAACATGAGATTTGGGTGGGGAAACAGAGCCAAAAACCATATCATTAGGATAGTGAAGTTTTTGCACAGGTAGAAATAAACAGAGTAATTGAAGGTAAAGGAGATGCTAGAAACAGATTCAATTTGTTCATGTATGTGTACTTCTCATGTATTACAGAAGTGTCATCATAGAGTATCAGGGGAAAGAATGGTCTTTACAATAAATGGAGCTAGAACAGCAAATTATCCCATATCCCTTTGTGTGATAAAACTATCATACAAACAACTATGTGAGGGATGGATATGTTAATTAGCTTGATTGGGTGATCATTTCGCAATGTATACATGCATTAAAACATCAATTAGTACATCTTAAATACACACAATTTCTATTCATCAGGCGTACCTTAATAAAGATGAAAAAAGAGAAAATCTACTAGGTTATATACTTCATACATTCGTAGTGGCAAAGGACTGGTTTCATAATTATATACATTATTCCTTTAATCAATACAAAGGCAGAAAAATCAATAGAAAAATGGGCAAACATCTTTAGCAGATATTTTATTCAAATAATCAATAAACATGAAAAGCTGTTCAGTTTCATTATTAATCAGAGAACTGCAAATTAGAACCACAATAAGATAAAATTATATTATCAGCAGACTTGCAAAAGTTGAAACAGTCTTATACCACCATTTATTGGTGAGACTGTGTAGTAACAGAAACTCTCATATGCCTCTGGGAATGTAGTTTCATAAACTCACTTAAAAAATGGCATTATCTACTGAATGCAAAGGTTTGCATAGTCTGTGACAAGTTGATTCCACTTCTAGATAAATATTCAACAGAATGGGTGTCCACATGGAATTATTAGTATGTAATAACACCAAACTGGAAATAACTCAATGTCCATCACCAGTAGAAAAGATAAACTCTTGCCTATTTATGCGATGAGCTATCATCCAGTGATATAAAAGAATGAACTGCAGCTACATAAAACAATCTAGACAGATGTTACAAACATGAGGCTGTCTAAAAGAGGTAAGAATCAAGAGAACACATACTTTATTTCATTTTTGTAAGGTTAAAAAATAAAAATGAAATCACATACATACATATTAATATATAATCAGTGCCTTGAAGTAATGCATACTTCTATGTATGAATATATGTTTATGTACTTACACATAATATTTAATTGTAAATATTTATCTATATCAATATTAATATAGATATGCTTGTAGATATTACAGGATAAGGAGAGGAATGTGATCAGAAGGGACACATGGAGGGATACCGGGCACTACCCATGTACTCATACTCCTTCTCAGTGGTGGCTACATAGCACCCACTTTATTTCTATGCATTTAATTCAGCATTTTTTATCTTTTCTATGTGTATGTTATATTTTTAAATTAAAAAATAAAATTGGAAAGACCAGCCGGGCACAGTGGCTCACACTTGTAATCCCAGCACTTTGGGAAGCCGAGGAGGGTGGATCACCTGAGATCAGGAGTTTGAGACCAGCCTGGCCAACCTGGTGAAACCCTCGTCTCTGCTAAAAACACAAAAATTAGTTGGGTGTAGTGGTGTGTGCCTGTAATGCCAGCTACTCTGGAGGCTGAGGCAGGAGAATCCCTTAGAACCTGGGAGGTGGAGGTTGCAGTGAGATTGTGCCATTGCACTCCAGCCTGGATGACAGAGTGAGACTGTCTCAAAAAAACAAAAAAAACTAAAAAAAAAAATTGGAAAAACCAAAAGAGATTTACCATTACTACTTAGGAAAATGCAATATGGTATCATAGGGAAATACATTTATACCATGAAATAAATAAAATATATATTTAAGCTCATACTGGACAAACGATACTGGAAAGAACATGAAGTGACAGGAACCTTTTACAGTGGGGACTACTGGTAGTTGCACAGATATTGGGTTTGCCTTCTATACAGTCTATTCTGGCAGAAGTGTGACAGATGAAACTATTATTTAGAGAACCTGAAATGTTCTACTTATATCTCTTTGTGTCTAAGCTTGACACCTCAATACCTGGTTCTTCCAATATGTAATTCTTGTTAATGTTTTCATAATAATAAATATTGAGATTTGACTAGAAAAATAAAATCACACGTATGCGTAGTATTATGTAGAGAGATGCAGAAGTGTGAAGTTGTGTATATACTCCCAATTATTCATCAAGTATTAATCAGCCTGTGCTTTTGGTCCATCAAACTGGTAAGTGCCTGAGGGTATAAACTAAATTGGATACCATTTCTCACTTAGCAGAGTTTCTGGCAAGATTTTTTTTTAAAAAGCAAAACAAAGATACTCTAAAAATTTGAAGCCACACATAAAGGTAGACACAATTTGGATCTGGATGTGTACATTTCTAATAGAGCATTTCTCTATCTGGTGAGTTAAATAACAATATCCAGTTAACTACATAGAATGAGGTGCAAAGTACAGATCTTGTCATGCAATGCGAGTCACAATGCCTGGAGTACAGAATAAGAAAGAGAGAACTGCAAAAAAAATTATAGATTTAGGTGAGATTTTGCTAATGATTTTGAACTTTTTCTTCCTTTATGTAATTGTGAAGTATAAAAAAAAAAAGAATGTTCTTACTAAGTCACTGATCACTTCATCCTTCATACACACATATATGCATGTACACATACAAGATAATTAGAGCAAGGATTAAGTTTTAACAGCAACGTGTCTCCTTTAGCTATTCTCATTGGTTCTAGTAGCCTGGAATAGCATAGCTCCGTGCATGCAGTATATGATCAATAGATGTCTGCCCAGTTGTTGAATTATTTTATTTTAAAAAAGCAGGTGAGTAGGAAACTCCATATTTATCTTTAAAAACTAAGTATAACAAGTTGTTTTGTCATTTCACACTTCAATTGATATTTTTCCCTCATGAATTAGTGACCAACATAAATAAAACGTTCTAGTCCCTGTTTTAGAACATATAAATTCACGAAGAGAAGAGATCTATATATGATGCCCGTAAGAGTTTGTATTGATTGCAACTTCACAGGTCAACTATTATTATCACAAATAGAGTTACGATAGAGCAGCCTCAGCCACAATATTCATTCATATTTGTTCATTCACCTAACATTTATGGAGCACCTACTTGGAGCCAACTTAAGTGACCACAGCCTTAATTAACTGAAGGGCAGTGGCAAATTTCCAGACCATTGAACTATAGCCATGACGCAAGAATCTGCTTTACAAGACACAAAGATAAAAAGGAACAGTAATTCTACAAGTGCAATGAAATATTTGTCGTCTGTTTCCCAGGCTTTACTAACACTAGGACAAAAGAAAGATGATAATAATCATATGGTCGGTGTTCCATGGATCGCCCACAGGGGCTGGTCAAGTTCTTTCTTGTGTCTCAAAAGTACAGGAATATGGCTTTGACTTTGCAATATCCATCTATTCTCTGTCCCTCGGACTTTTCATTGCAATGTTGAATAATTATACCAATGAATCTAGGAGTCAGTGTCAAACCTTGCCCATATATACTCTGAAACACTAGTTTTGCACACATGCCCTTCCCTTCTAATTCTGTACTTGTCTTACAGATTGTTTTTTCCAATGCTTTATTTACTCAACAGCAACCTAGCTACTTTTCCTGAGGCAAGGAACTTCTGTGGCCATAACTTTTCCATTGCTTACTTTCTTCTCATTTTACAGAGGCAAAAGTAACTTTAAAAAATTAAATAAAAATTGTCACTCACAGGGTATAAAACTCCAGAAAAGAATACAAAGCTTTTGTGGTTAGAGAAGAAAAATTTTCTTTGTTCCTGATGAGAAGTAAAGAGAGGAGGAGTAGCTGGGGTACAGATAGTACAAGAGTTGTGAGATGCTGCTATGAGATCTTGTCCGTAAGGTTAATAGTCTCATACATTTATTAGTGTGAGTGATTCTTGAAAGAGTTTAGTTTTGCATTTTGATAAACAGAGGCAGTCTGCAAAGAAGATACAAAACATGAATTTTCAAGATCTAAGAATCAGGAAAACTTGTAAAAAACCTCTTAGTCTTTTAAGCTGTGAAATGGTCTAGTGTTTAAGCCAATTATACTTAAATCATCCAGGATAGTAAAAGAATCCCAACAGATTTTAATTTAACATCAGTTTAACAAATATTAAGGAAAAATAATGAATACAATATATTAAGTTCCATCCCCAGTGTGGTTTAATGAGTGGTCAAAGACACAAAAACAAACAAACAAAAACAAAAGGAAAAAGAAAAGTAGCAGACAAAATGTAATTGCACAAACTGAAAACAATTGTACATATTGAAAACAATTGTACAAATTGAAAACCATTGTAAATAGAAGATATTATTTGCAGGGAATAAACAATAGTAAAATTGGGTTAAATTAGTATTTCTTGAAAGTATATCATATGCAAGGACATAAAACATGTGAATGTTTATGAAGTTTTTATTGTTCCCATAAAATGTAGTCTTGTGTGTTCTCATCACATATACAAATAACCTCTGCCTTAAAGAGGTTCTGTGTTAAAGAATACAATCCTGTGTGATGGTAGCATTTCCTGGACCATTGTGTTTGGGGGCCAGCTAAACCAGGGGACATTTCTTATCTTCTCTGAGCTCAGGCCAGTTAGGGCCAATTAAGCTCCTCTTGATCCTATACTTACTTCTGGAAGCTGAATCCTTCTGGAAGCTGAATCCTCATGTCCTGTTGCCTTTGATCAACCCCTCTTCAGAACTGCTTTAGCAGATCAACTCAAGACTAAAATGCTCCAGATTGATTGTTGTGCAGTTCTTAACTCCAGGCTTCTCACTGAAATAGAGTTCATTAGAACCAGATTTGAGCTTAACCTACTCCCTCACTCCCTTTCTTCCTTCCTCCTTCCCTCCCTCCCTCCCTTCCTCCTTCCCTCCCTCCCTTCCTTTCTTCCTCCTTTCCTTCCCTCCTTCCTTCCTTCCTCCCTTCCTTCCCTCCTTCTTTCCTTCCTCCCTTCCTTCCCTCCTTCCTTCCTCCCTCCCTCCCTTCCTTCCTTCCTTCCTTCTTCTCTCCCTCCCTCCCTCCCTTCCTTCCTCCCTCCCGCCCTTCCTCCCTTCTTCCTTCTTTCCTTCCTTCCTTTCTTCCTCTCTCCCTCCCTTCTTCCTTCTTCCTTCCTTCCTCCTTTCCTTACTCCTTTCCTTCCTTCCTCCTTTCCTTCCTCCTTTCCTTCCTTCCTCATTTAAATCATATGATATTGGAATTTACATTATGATATGATTGCTAAAATTACTTAAGCATATTAAAGGTAGTATTTAAGGGGAAAATAATTAAATAGAAAAAATTACTGAAGGAAACTAAAAATATTTTACCCCACTTTGGGAGGCTGAGGCGGGCAGGTCACGAGGTCAAGAGATTGGGACAATTCTGGCCAACGTGGTGAAACTCTGTCTCTAATAAGAACACACACACACACACACAAATAGCTTGGCATGTTAGTGCATGCCTGTAGTCTCAGCTACTCTGGAGGCTGAGTGAGGAGAATTGCTTGAACCTTGGAGGTGGAGGTTGCAGTGAGCTGAGATCACACCACTGCACTCCAGGCTGGTGACCAAAAAAAAAAAAAAAAAAAAAAAAAAAAATTTACCCCCATATATACTTATTTGCCATATTTCAAGATGGCTCTTCAGCCGGGCTAGAAACATAAGAATAGTTAAAATGCTGTCTTTTGTGCGGGGTGGGGGGAGTGGCTGGGATTTGCACCCGTAGAGGAGATAAAGTGAAATAAACAACAGATGGACACAGGCTTTTTGCGAAGCCCTCCCTTATTCATAACTAGGAAAGATTAACTGAGTCAGAAACCTGTAAAGGTCTGACAGGAACATTGCCCACTGGCTACCATCTATTCCTTCTGAGGGCTGCTGCCTGACAGGTTTCATCTGCACAACGTGACCACCTTTTCTCCAGGCCTTTCTTCTCCTCTCCCTCCCATAACCTGTTTGGCCATGTCCTGAGCTCTTATTCTTTTCTAACCTCAAGATGATGCAAAAGCATCAATTGGCCATTTATTTGAGCTTTTCATATTAGTATGCTTCCCATGCCCATATACATGTTAATATATTTGTATATGTTTTCTTCTATTAATCTACCTTTTGTCAGTTGATTTTCAGTGAACATTTTTTTCTCCCCTACAGTATCATTGATTTTCAGTAGTTTTCTTTTGCCCTATACTACTGAGGAAAATATTCAGAAATATATAAAAGTTACTTCATATTTATTTATAAACTTAATATAAAATGTGTATCTCCAGAAAAATAATGGCTGAATAAGTTAAACTAAAACCATATAGTGGAACTGTTGAAAATAAGTATTTAAAATTTTTTTGAGGTCACCAGAAAACGTATATAATATACAAATAAGTAAAAAACATAGAACATAAAACTATGTGCACAGTGATAATTATTTATAGATATACAGATACAGATGTATACCTATCCAAGTATAGAATTAAAAAAATAAACAGAAGGAAACATACCCAACTAGTTAGTTTTTATTGCTAGAATGTAGATCATTTATTTTAAAAACATTTTTCCACAATATGTGTATTTTAATTTTTAATTAAAAACATTGTATCCACCCCATTAAATAATGTTATCAGAAAATTAATTATGTCATATAAGAAGATATTTTCAATTTATAATAGACAAGATAGCTCAATGCTGCTTTTATTTATTCTTTTTTCCCCCAAAATTAATAGTTACTAGAGACCAAACACCTTCTCAGCCTCAGGGACAGCCCTTGAAACTAATATATTGCCTGCTAGTCTGGTGTTCTGTTTTCAACAAATATAGACCAAATAATATATTTGATGAGATTGTTCACAACTCATGGGTTAGGTTATTGTCGTATCTATCTTTGTACCCCTATTTATTGCTCAATATAGGAGCCAGCACATTTCTAATAAACGTAAATTGTCACGGATGGGACTAAGTTTTTTTTCTCTCTTTTGAATTTCTTCTTATACAGCCAACATAGTTCTTTGTATAGAGAAATAATCAAAAACTATACTGATTTGTGGGAGCTAAAAATTAAATCCATTGAACTCATAGAGATACAGAGCAGAATGATGGTTACCAGAGGCTGGGGTGGAGAAGTGGAATTGTTAACAGGTACAAAAAATAGAAATAATTAATAAGACCTAGTATTTGATAGCACAACAGGGTGATTATAGTCAATAATAATTTAATTGTACATTATAGAATAACTAAAGGAGTATAATTGCATTGTTTGTAACAGGAAGAATAAACATTTAAGGTGATGGATACACCATTTACCCTGATATCATTATCAAAATATCTCATACACTCTGTAAATATATACACACCTACTATGTACCTACAAAAATTAAAAATTAAAAAGAAGAAAACTGTCATGTTTCACTTAACAAGGCTGTTAAGTTCTGACAAATCCGTCTCAGGCGATTGCATCATCGCGCAAAGGGTTCTAACGAAAGCGTCTCAGCGGTTTACGTCGAATGCGTCTCAGGGGTTTGCGTCATTGCGCAAACGGTTCTGACTAATACGCCTCAGGCGATTGCGTCATCGCGCAAACGGTTCCGACGAATGCGTCTCAGGCGATTGCGTCATCGCACAAAGGGTTCCGACGAATGCGTCTCAGGCGATTGCATCATCGCGCAAAGGGTCCTGAGAAATGCGCCTTAGGCGATTGCATCATGGCGCAAACATCATGTATTTAGCTTTCAAAAACCTAGATGGGACAGCCTCCAGCTAACTTAGGCTGTGTGGAATAGCAGATTGCTCCTAGGCTACAAACCTGTACAACATGTTACTGTACTGAGTGCAGTGGGCATCCTAACACAATGGTAAGTACTTGTGTATCTAAACATATCTAAATATAGCATAGAAAAGGCACTGTAAAAATAATTTTATAATCTTATGGGACTACAGTCGTATAAACAGTCTGCCGTTGATGAAAACGTCATTATGCAGCACATGACTGTAGATGCTGGATTAATGTGAGTTAAAGTTTAACATCATATTCATGCAAAAGTAAATGCCACCCAACCTGTGATACTTACACAGAAAGTTAAAATCAGCATCAAAGATAGGCATGCTGTGAGGTGCGCTTGCTGCTCTGTTGGGGGCTGTAGGGTAAACCACAAGCTTTTTTTACTCAGGAAATAGCACTTTGACTGTTTTACCCCTTAGGGAATCTCTAATTTAATAAGGAGTTCAGAGTAAACACTGAATCAATTTGTCTGTCTGTCTGTCTGTCTATCTATCTATCTTATCTATCTTATCTATCTTTCTATCTTATCTATCTATCTATCTATCTATCTATCTATCTATCTATCTATCTATTGTTATTTATTTCCCAAAGATGACCGGGTATTTCTTAGGTTTTTATTTGGAAGCAGATGGTGGGAGGATAAATCAATTCTTTAAGAGGAAGAGCAATAATTCAATGAAGAAAAAGAAAAAATTATCTGTAGACCTATACACCTGGTCAGAAATGGATGTAATGGGGGAAAAATAGAATGCAGGTGTGTGCAGGCCCAGGGACAGCTCTGTGCTTTAGGGCTCTTGTTTTGATTGTGAATGTGGTGAACTGGCAGAGAGCAGAGGCTGGTCCAGGCTCTTCATACTCTGAGTAAAACGTAAAACTTAAATACAGTAGGCCCTCCCTATCTAATAGTTCTGCACCTACAGATTAAACCAGCCACAGATTGAAACTATTCAGAAAATTTAAAAATTCAAATAATACAAATGCAAATACAATACAAAATAACAACCAGTTATGTGGCATTTATATTGTATTATGTGTTGTAAATAATCTAGAGATGACTTAAAGTATATGAGAGAATGTGTCTAGGTTATATGCAAATACCATGCCATTGCTAATTTATGGAACACAGTTGTGCATCTGTAGATTTTTTGGAAGGGGAGGGTCATGAAACAAATCTTCCTTCAATACCAAGGGATGAGTGTAGAGTAAACATTTTTAAAAAACAATGAGTGTCTTAGATGTATTATTTGCCTAGTGATTACCAATCTCTAACATATTATTAAAACTTCATAGAAGACACGTATCATTAACTTCAGAGAGGTTAAGGAACTGAGGCCCAGAGAGGTTAAGGAATTTGCCAAAGCCACAGTTTGAACGTAGCCTGTGCTCCTTTGTTTCCCAAAATCTCAAGTCTGAGAGTGAGGATAAGTCTGATAATGGATGAAGCAGCCAGGGTTATGAAAGTGAGGAGCACCAGACAGCCCATATGGTGGGAGTAAAGCCTTTCCATCCAAAGCCAGATAAATCCACCTAGTCAACCACTGACACGATCACCTATGTTCCAACAGCTCAGGATTTGTTGCGGATCAAATTCAGAGTGGAATGCCTGTTAAAAACAGATATCTTTCTCTAATGTCTGATGATTATAATTTGTGCAGTTTGGGTACATATATTTTTAACCAACTCCTCAACTGGAAAGTGTAAATATAACAAATAGGCACAGTTTTCTGAAGTGAGAAGTCTTGTGAAGAAGACAGACTTTAAAATCCCTAAATTGAATGACATTACTACTTCTTCCATGCACTGCTAGATCATTTTAACCTCTCTGCATCAGTCTCCCGTCTGTACAAGAGGAAAATAATACCAGTCTACTCTGTTTTGAGAAAAAAAAAAAAGGCAGCACAATATGTATGATAAGAATTAATGAAAGACACATCATAATTTATATAGTATTTCTTATAAATGTATTTTAATCATAAAAAGGTACCTAATGAATCTAAATTGTCATTCTGTAAAGCCACAGACTTATGTCCATAAAACAAAATTAAAATCCTAAAAGACAAAAAAGAAGCTTTGAATCATTCCAGATTTAAAGGAGTATAAAAAGGCATGCCAATAGGATACTTTGTGTTATCCTGGGTGGGAAATTCAACTAGGTAAAAAGCGCTATCAAAGAAATTTAGATGTGGATGGGAAAGCATCACCTCTGCCCTTGGAAAGTTCATTGTTAAAATGAAATGAACTGACAATGGATAGATTAGGAAGAGAAAAAACATACAAATGTATTAACATGCACAGGGACTTGGGAATCTCACAAATATGAGATTCAAAAGAGGGCCAGATAGTTGAGGCTCAAACACCTCCTTCAAAGGGGAGAAGGATGTGGGAAACTGTGGGCATTTTAGAGTGGTAGTACATAATTTTATGGAAAATAAATGGGCCCAGGAAGCAAAATTATCCTGTACATGATTTTCTTAAGAAGCTTAATGGGAACAGGAAATTATTAGAAGGTAAGAGGTGAAACTGCATTGGGAATAAAAGTTTTCTTGTTGTGTAGATAAGGTATCTCGGGTAATTTCTAGAAGCGGCCCTCAGAAGAATACATGAAAAGTCTATCTGGGCACGGTGATGACTTTTAGTCTCTTCTCATCATAGTCGCTGGTTTAAACTTTTTTTAGTTATTTGATGACACTCTCAGAGAGGAGTTCAAAAGACAATTGCATTTCTTTTGGAAAGAAATCTCCTTAGTCAGATAGGGAAACTCCAGACAAAGTCCCTCCCTATGCTTATGGGAAGAAGAAATAAGAGAAGGTTGGAAAGTTATTTGTTCTGAGGCAGCTTTTAAGCCCTTCAAATTTCTTTAAATTCATTGTTGAGTATGGTAAAATATCATACTTTGGGGTAACATTCTCTGCACCCCAATCAAAAGGAATGGAACAACTGGAGAAATTTGAATGTATACCACGTTCAAAATCTAATGGTAGGCTGGGCGCAGCAGCTCACGCCTGTAATCCCAGCACTTTGGGAGGCCGAGGCGGGTGGATCACAAGGTCAGGAGATCGAGACCACGGTGAAACCCCATCTCTGCTAAAAATACAAAAAAAAAAAAATTAGCCGGGTGCGGTGGTGGGCACCTGTAGTCCCAGCTACTCGGGAGGCTGAGGCAGAAGAATGGCGTGAACCCCGGAGGCGGGGCTTGCAGTGAGCCGAGATCGCGCCACTGCACTCCAGCCTGGGGGACAGAGCCAGACTCTGTCTCAGAAACAAAACAAAACAAAAAAAACGAATTAGTGCTAACTCTGCTAATTTCCTAATTTGGCAGTTGTACTGCAGTTATATAAGTGTGTTAATCAAGTGCAGGTCCCCTCAGATCTCCCTTCAAGGAAAGATTTGCTGCCCAGTCAGCAAACAGACACCTCCAGTTATCAGCTCCTTCAAGCTCTACCTCAGCTGCTTAAAGCCACCTCACATACCATGAGGTTGTGTCCTTCTTGGAGAAGTCCAAATCCTGGGACTCAGACAGTGTGGGGATAAACACCTGTTCATTTGGCCCAAGGTACAGTACTCTGATGAGCAATCCTTACACCAGAGGCTGTCTGCGGACTGGCCAAGGCTGTCAAGCTAGTCTTTATCACGATTTGACTTTTGTCTCTGTCCAATCTTGCTTCTTCCCTCTTCCATTCACAGCTGATGATCCCTAATAAATCATCTCACGCATCAAACTCTGTCTCAGCGTTTGCTTCCAGATAACCCAACCTGTAAACTCAGTGTGGAACACAGTTTGAGAAAAGAAGTGAGGAGATTCAATTGTGAAGTTGGATCACTCTCCTGCAGGCAATGAAGACATCACTGACGGTAGGGTGAATGTTCTCGCACCTCACAAAGTGGGAGTCCACTCCTTAAGAGATCCACTATGCATGGAGAAAACCATGGTGATAAGGATAATGGACTGGGTAGCCTGTGATTGGTGGTACAGATGCTCTGGAGAAAGGTGAGGCTGAGTAGCAGGTCAATGAAAACCAGGTGTGAAAGCAGCAGCATCTTGGTTGCATTTGAAACAGTCTTATCCTTGTAGTATAGTTTGAAGTCAGGTAGCGTGACACATCCAGCTTTGTTCTTTTTGCTTAGGATTGTCTTGGCTATAGGGGGACTTTGACTTCATATGAAACTTAAAATAGTTGTTTTCTAATTCTGTGAAAAATGTCAATGGTGGTTTCACGTGAATAGCATTGAATCTACAAATTACTTTGGGCAATATGTCCATTTTCATGATATTGATGCTTCCTATCCATAAAAATGAAATGTTTTTCCATTTGTTTGTGTCCTCTCATTTCCTTGAGCAGTGGTTCATAGTTCTTCCTGAAGAGGTCCCTCACATCCTTTGTTAGCTGTATTCCTGGGTATTTTATTGTCTTTGTAGCAATTGTGAATGGGAGTTCATTTCATGATTTACCTCTCTGCTTGCCTATTGCTGGTGTAAAGGAATGCTTGTAATTTTTGCATAATTGATTTTGTATCCTGAGACTTTGCTGAAGTTGCTTATCAGCTCAAGATGTGTTTGGGCTGAGATGATGGGGTTTTCTAAAAGTAAAATCATGTTGTTTGCGAACAGGGACAACTTGACTTCCCCTCTTCCTATTTGAATGCCCTTTATTTCTTTCTCTTGCTTGATTGCCCTGGCCAGAACTTCCAATACTATGTTGAATAGGAGTGGTGAGACAGGGCATCCTTGTCTTGTACCAGTTTTCAAAGGGAATGCTCCCAGTTTTTGCGCGTTCAATATGATATTGGCTGTGGATTTGTCATAAATAGCTCGTATTATTTTGAGGTATGTTCCGTCAATACCCTAGTTTATTGAGAGTTTTTAACATGGAGTGATGTTAAATTTTACCCAGGCCTTTTCTCCATTTATTGAGATAATCATGTGGTTCTTGTCTTTGGTTCTGTTTATGTGATTGATTACGTTTATCGATTTGTGTATGTTGAACCAGCCTTGCATCCCAGGGATGAAGCCAGCTTGGTCATGGTGGATGTTTTCTCATGTGCTGCTGGATTCAGTTTGCCAGTGCTTTATTAAGGATTTTCACATTGAAGTTCATCAGGGATATTGGCCTGACATTTTCTTTTTTTGTTATGTCTCTTCCCAGTTTTGGTATCAGGATGATGCTGGCTTCATAAAATAAGTTAAGAAGGAATCCCTCCTTTTCAAATGTTTGAAATAGTTTCAGAAGGAATGGCACTAGCTCCTTTTTGGTACCAGGCTCATTGGGAATCAGCATCATGGGGTGTCTGCCCAGGTCAACCTGATGAGGGGTTTGCATAATTTTGCTTCCTCTTTCATCCTTTGCAAAAAGATAGAGAGATAGAGAATGCATAAAATAGCTGGGTTGGTGGCAAGTGTGAAGGACTTTACTCCTTCCATGTTTGGAGAGAAAGGAGGTGAGAGCCATGTCCCTGGTTTAGCCTGTCAGGTCCCAGTCTTAAAGGATGTGTTGTGATACACATGACCAGAGTGCAACTCACTGCATTTCCATTCACAGGCATGACTGAAAATGAAGTGATGGTTTAATGTTTAATGGTCGTTGCTTCTTGTTGATATATTTTCCTTGACAATGAGCAGTGACTGGGCCAAGGTGGGATTTAGATATTCTTTGTTTTGCTTGGTGAAATGTCATATAATAAAATTTTATTCCCTTCCTCTAATGCATAACTCTTCCATACACTTAAAGATGCGACATATTTGACATTGTGTCAGGCAAGCGTTTTTGTTCTTGGAGAAGTTGAGTGTTCAAAGGGTGTGGCTGCAGAGATTCAGAGAGTTTTAGTTTATACTCCCCAAAAAGCTCCATGTTAGTTACGTAAAGACACTCCCCGCCTCAAACCCAACACCCTACCTCAAAATGACCATTATTAGGCAGAGTTTAGGGGCAGTTAAAGTTGCCTAAGAGATTGCTGCTACGTTTGTGGTTTTGCCAGTTTGAAAGCACCAAAACAGCATGGAATCCAAGGTAGGATCTAAAGTTTCTTCATCCATCTGTCACTAATCAAAAAGAATGCCAAATAACATATGGTCATGGAAGTATCAGGAAAGAAAATGAATGAAAAGGAATATGCTAAATACAGATCTAAATAATACTGTTTTCAGTAAGTGGCTGACAAATTCTCCAAAAGGAAAGAATAATCTGAAACAAAGACTACCCTGAGTATGTCAGATAGTGCACTTTTATTCCGCTATACATTTTAATAATATTTTCTTGGCACCTAGCACAGATAGTATCCTACAGAGACTCACCCACTAGATTGTTATCTGCCTTTCTCTGATTAAACACTAAATAAGGTTGTAAGGCCTCTGGATTAGCTATGTTTTCTTACTTTTACATTTTTGATGCTCTAGAGTTTGGGCTCTTTAAATGCCTAGGGAACCACTTCTCTGGAGGTTAACTAATTCCTAGAAATAACAAACAACTTGCCTGCCACCACACCTTTGATAAGCAAACCAACCAATCCAGAGGCCACACTTCTCACCAGTCTCCTTTTATCAGACTAGTACAGTCCGTGGCACTATTCCCTGCCCTACTTACCACCCATATAGTCCACAGCCCATCAAAATTTTTCCAACTTTCTGATCATAAGTTTCTGCTCCTCATAATTGAACATTGCCTGCCCATTTCTTTCCTGTGAAAACTGTGAGAAGATTCCAGCCAACTCATAGTTCTCTTTTCTGTCTGCCAGGTCATCTCTGTTGGGTGCTTCTCTAGGTGGCTCTGAGTACCATGCTTCTTTGAATTTAGAAAAATAATTCTTTCTTCATGGAAATCAGTTTAGTGTCTGTGTGTCTTACTGTACCTGCTCAAATAAAGCCCCAGCACATTTTTAGACAAGCTAGATTTCAAAAATAAGTAGATAAATAGACCAAACCATAATATCATTTAGAAATAGAGGGATGGTATCTAAATAGACATTTCTGGTTGGACTGTACAATATTTTAAAAACTGACTTTTTCTGTGTATCTCTTTATTTCATTTGAGAAGTATTCATTCAGCAGTGGGATAGTAGCCTTTACAAGGTAATGACTGACTATGTAGAAATTGCCACAGATCCCGAGTAGGATATAGAGGGTACCACTGATTGGCCCAACAAAAAGATTAGATTTAAGAGCTAGAGGTAGAGAATGCAAATATGTATATAATTTACAAACAACATCCTGAGCAAAAATAACCAACATAGGAAGCTTTTACTAACACCCATAACCGTAAAATGTTTTCATCTTTATCTAATCTGCCAGAGTATTTTGAGCATACCTCTTTATGGCATTTGTAAACCTTTTATCCACTGTGAAACCTACTAGTATGAAGGTCTTGTGGTATCTGCAACATACAAAGTTCTTATGGGGTCAAGAGACAACATGGTACACTGGAAAATGCACACAAATCCAGGAGGGAATGACGGTTCCACTACTTACTGGGTCTGTAATGCTGAGTAAATTACTAAATTGTGTTTGCCTTCAATTTTCTTCTTTGTTAAATGGAGAAATATCTCTTTCCGTAGCTTGCTGGAAAGATTAGATAAGAAAATACATGTAAAATGCATGAGACACAGCAGGTACACTAGACACTTTCTTCTTTTCAATTTCTAGGAACCTTAGCCATGGGTTGAACATTCTGCTTATTAGAGATCTTTAGTAAAGGTTATTCCATACACTCATCATTATATGTACAAAAACACTAAATTTACATACATCTATACATTTATGGGCAGAAGTCGAGGATGTTAAATTAATTTTATAGTATATTACTGCGATGTTAAATGCTTTATAGAAGAAAGTTGATAATATGTAAATAAATAAATAAGAAATGCACATGCTGATACACCATGCTACAGGGGAAAGTGGATGTGAGAACTCACACTCACTGAATAGTTTTGCAGAGCCCAACACTGTGCTGAAAACACATTTTGTGTATTTACTTCATTCTGAAGCATATGCTATCATTATTTAACTCTTCTTAGCTGAGGAAGCTGAAGACCAGAAAAATTAAGTATATTTCTCAAGACCAGCTAGGAATTTTTTGAAGAAATATTTAAATCTGGTCATTATGGCTTCAGAATATCTAAATCCTCCCTCATTTTATGTCTGTGCTATGCTGTCCTATATTCTGTGAATTCATATTTTGTATACGTATGTGTTAAATATGAAAACATTGATTAATCCAACAGGTATTTATGGAAATCCATTCGTTCTGAGCTTCTGCCATACACTTGATTTGCTGCTAGGGAACATGTTTTAGTCCCACAGGACGTTTCAAGGCCTACAGAAACCTGTCTCCTTCCTCTCCCAATTTAAGAGTATGTTTTGGCTTTTAATTTTAATAACAATTTATTATTATTATTATTATTATTATTGATTAGTACTTTTCATGCAGCCAGTTAAAAACGTAGTCTGTCTACTTCGTGGCAATGAAGATATTATCCTATGTTGTTTTCTTTGCCCTTTCACATGAAAGTCCCATTCATTCCAAACTGACTCGGCACTCTTTCATAGAAAGTTCAAGCTTTCCCACTGCATTCTAGTTCCGTCTTTGTCAAAGAGCAGTTGATTTTGTATACACACCCAACTGTTTTCAAATTCTCTATTTTATTTCATGGATATATTTTTATCTATCTTCATATCATACTACATGGTTTAAATTGCTATTGCTTTAGAAGAAATTGTGATATCTGGTATTATGAGTCCTTCAGCAATTTTTTTCTTTAAGATTATCTTGGTTATTCCTTGTTATTTGCATTTTCTTTCACATAAAATTTAGAAGGAGTTTGTCAATTTCCACATATGTACACAGACACAAATGCACCCAGACGTGCACCCCGCCACACACATATACCAACAAATATGCTGATATATTGATTGGGGTATATTTAATGCACAAACTTGGGAAAATTGATATCTTTACAGTATTGTGTGTTCCAATATGAACATATAAAAGAGCATCTCATAGATATAAATGTTATAGAGAATTTGTAGAGTTGTCACTATTCTGGATAAATACATACACACACACACACACACACACAGAGACACACATTTGAAGGTACTGTTGTATGCTTTTGTACCTGTACACACTTTTAATGTAGTGTTATCACACTTCTTTCCTTAGATTCTTTCTTTAGATTTAGCTTTAGAAACTTGGTAACTTTTTTTCTATTTTAAGGCATATTGTTTCTAGCACTACAATTTCTATTACACACACACACACACACACACACAAAGAGTTGTTATTGTTGGCTTTGTATTTAGCAACCTCATTAGCAAATATTCTTGAACACCTGTTCTATGATCATTGCTAGGACTGAGGATATAAAAATGTGCAATTTATATCCCCTTTCATTGAAGAGTTCACAGTTGAGATGGAGAAATTCTTCGCATGAGCAAAGACTGAAGGAGCCCTGGGAAGGAGCTACTTACTGAATTGCAGGAGTGCTGTGTTCAGGCAACTGACAAGAAGTTAATGGCATATTTCAGTTTCATTATAGCTAGGCAGGTATGTCTGGATTTTTCATATGCTCCCTAGCTCCTTTCCCATTTGGACTATTTTTGAACCTCAAATCCAGTGAAAATTGATGATGAGTGCCTTCTTTGTGTTAATGTTTTATTTCACTGTGTTTTTATACAGAATGAAAACTTATGAAAGGCAGAGAATGATTTCTTTTGTTTACTGCTAATTTCTAGGGCCTAGAAGAGCAATGTAGCAAGATAGATGCTCAAAAAATATTTACCTTTACTTATCATATACTGGCTATTTGTCTTTCCTTAAAAATAGTCTTTCCTATCCTTCCATGTTCAGCTCCAGAGTCACCTCTCCATAAAATCTTACTCTATGTCCAGCAACTTCAACTGAGAATTATATATTTTGTCCTATTACTATATCCTCAGTAATGGCAGTTTACATGCTATATTGAAACAAAAAAAATGTACAAAATGTCTCCATCTCTTGTACCATTGTCAGAAGAGATGCTGCTTTATTTATATTAAATTCCTACCTGCCTAAATTAGTATCTGATCCATAGTACTTTTTTCCGCGAAAGAGAACATAAATTAAAGAATGAATAAATGAATGAATGAAAAACATTCAATTCAAGTCGTACACCTAGTGAGGAACAGAACTAAGAAGAAAGCCTATGGCAGTTGGGCTATCAGCCCAGTTAGTTGACCACGAGTCAGGTTCACACAGGAATTCAGAACTTTTCTTAAGTAATCCTCCCCTAGAATCATCCTCCACCAGAGTTCATTCGGTTACTGGTGAACTATTTACACTAGTTTCACACCTAGGTTGCAGAAGCATCAGATCAATGACTGATCACGTGTAGGTGATTGCATGAACCTTGTTCTTAGGTCTGACAGAAGTTCCTGATCCCTAACTCTTTCCTCACAATGGGGACATGGGCTAGGTCAAGGAGGAACTACAAAAACAACAAAATAAAATAATTACTTTTACCACAGGTAATGACATTGTGATTCACATTTTCCCAAAATAATCTTCTTCACTTCCCATAACCACGCTGTGAAGTGATGGATTAAAGTTCTTGACTCCAGGATATGGATCCGAGGATGGTAAGAGGAAACACTGAACTCTTGAGACTGACCTTCTAAAGGTCACAGTTCAAAGACAGCTACTATGTCTTATCCATTCTCCCATCAAAGAAAGATCTTGACAAACACTAACTAATGCAGCGTTAGCATGAAAACATAAATTCATAAACACAGGATTCAGAGTCATTCAATCAAACTAACTCTTGAACCCAGGCTCCTTAACTTAGAATTAGATCTTAGATAGGTATGCTAATACACAGAAGCCTCTATTGCTCTAAGAAATGGAGTTAAGCAGATGTCTCACACATAGGATTCTTGAAAGGAGTAAAAACTGCTTAGTTATATAGAAAACCTCGCACTGACCCTGGATCCTAATCTGTAATCATGAAGTGTAGCCATTAGGATTATTTATTAGGACTACAATTCATTAATGACTTTTCTGTTCTTTTTCTACTTCTCTCATGCTAGCCTTGCCTCTGTCCTTTCTTCACCCCCAAACTCATTCCTGCTTCATGGGCTTTAAACTGCCATCTTCTTGCCAAACCTGCCCTCCACATTTGTGCATGGATACTTGCTTTTCACTGTTCAGGTCTCAACTCAAATGTTACTGAGCCCAACAGGCCCTTCCTGGTCATTCCACATACAGCAACTCATCCTTCTTTTTATTCAATTATTCTATTTTATATTTTAATATACTTGCAAGTCTATTTCTTTATGTGCATGTTTATTTTCTGCTTTATCACAGAATTTAAGAGCCTTAAAGGCCAATACTCTCCTTTGTTCTATAATGTATCACCAGTGCCAAGAACAGTTCCTGGCATATGAAGTAATGACACCTACTTCAAAACGCTTTACAGAAAACTCTAGTTGTAAATTGATATCCTTTTTTTTTCAAATGCTCCAATAGCATTTATTTTGTGTCTCATTCTGGGCCTGTGTCTGCTGTTAGTGGGGACTGTCCCATGTGGCTTCGAGTTCCTGGTGGCTTGCACCACTATGGCACCCATCACAAGGAGTGGCAGAGCAAGTTCTCATGAAGACCTATGGAACAGAAACAATATCAATAACCATGGTTATTTTAGGCACATATTAAGATAGAAATCATGCAAATCATCACTGTGTTTTTTCATGACCTTATTATGAATCAGGCACTCCCCATATATTATTTCTAATCCACATGAAACCCAGATTGGACAGAAATTGTTTTCTTCATTTTATGATAGAGAAAATTAAGACTAAAAGCTGAGGCAACGTATCTGGCATAGTGCAAGGTGTTTAATGTAGTGAGAGTTGAACTGGGGTTTGAGCGATTCACACAGGCTCCATGCTTTTTTATGTGATGATGATACTACCTCCCAGTGACAGCAAAATCAAATTATTCATAAAACTTTTTTTGCTATTTTATACTTTAAGTTGGGGGAATTGCATCTCAATATTTTGAATAATAAATAACAGGATGATGAACATATTTTACTAGAATATGAAATGAGTGTTCTTTTATTACTAGTACTTATCATTTACACTGTCTAATTCAATAAGCATGTCTCACATTTGTTCCTTACAGCTCTGCATAATATTTTATATCATAATTATAACTTAATCATAACTCAGCCTTATTAAAAACTGACAAGCCCTAGCTGTTGATGTGGTTAGTTTTTCCGCTAGTTATTTGAATCTTGTTTTTTCCTCCATTTAATGGATAATTTCCTTTCATAGGGATACAACATGGCCTTTTAAAAGCATGGGCAAAAATATGCAAATACTTAGGTCAATCAATGCAATGTTTCCTAATTAATCTGTTAAGTGCAAGTCTCTGACCACAGTTTTGGATGAGATAGAAAGTATTTATAGTTCTGTAAATCACTTTATATGAACACCAACATATCTTAATAGGGATAAGACAAATGGCAGTGGATGGTGTATGCATTTGTAAGTAATTCCTAATTACATAAATGCTTCATTCTTGTGGAAATATTTTCTTCTTCTGAAGGCCTATAGGGCTTTATCTATACCTTTCTTGTGACATCTTTTTTTTCTGCCTTATCTTCTGGTTATATGTGCATAGTAAAGAACATATTAGGTGTGGCGAAGGCTGACTTGAATTTAAACTATTTTAGCCATTTCAGTTTCTGGCTATATGACCTTGGGCAAAAGAGGTTATCACTGAACCTTTGTGGCCTCACTTAGAAATCAGAGTTGCTATGTCAACTCAAATGTTCATGTGCTTGTGTTTATTTCCGGAAGACAATAGATACTTCTCATATTCTCCACTAATCTGCAAATTAATTGATGGTTGAAACTGTGACATATTCATCATTATCTTTGTGCCTCCCACAGTTACTGCAAAGGCAGAGGAAACTTGATTACAATTATGAAAAGAAAGCTAACAGAGTTCACTTAGTTATTCTGCTTGGAATAACTCATCTCAATATTACAGCCTCAACCTCTCCTTTAATAAATTCTAGTCATTCTTCAAAAAAAATCTTGCAAAATCTATCTACATCCATATATTCCTCCTTCTTCTAACTGGAGATAATCTTGATAAAGGAACATATCTCCTATACCTCTCTGTTATTTCTTTCTTTCAACCTTTAATTTTACATTTGAATTCATAATTTATATTTCCAGTCCATTTAAACTCACTGAGATTAAAGACATACTATTTGTCCTTTTCTGAATACCCCAGTGATCAAAGGAAGTCCCCTGAGATTAACTCCTGTATAGTTTCAGATTGCATATTACTA